TCATAATCATAATAATCATCATCGTCATCATCATCATCATCATCACCATCATCATCAACATTTCAAATGTATTTTTTCTTAAAATAATAATTTCAAAAAAAATTAAAAGTAAACAAAATATCTAAACGACAAATTTTAGAAAGTTCAAAAGGCTGTCAGGGCCAGCCCGGACTGAGTGGAAGTTCATTGCAACGACCCATTGTTTTGCATAATATAGGTGTTTTTACTCCCCCGTGACACAGTTTAGATCATGTAGGAGGCGGGTTTCCGATCCTGTTTGCCAGGACCAATCCGGGCTGAGAGGGAGAGGGATACAACAGCATCCCAGCAGAGAAAGACAGAGGTACTCAATAAAAGCTTCTCCGTCTCCCCACTCTGGAATCTAAATAGGGTCTCCTGTGTACGACAGCCGCGGTGCACCGGTACACCACAGACGCCGGTAACTTTTATTGTTTGTTTTAATAAAGGTTTTATGGCGCTCGCAACTGCATTAGGTCATATGAGCGCCAAGGGGTGGATGTCAACAGAAAAGTCTTTACAGGGAATCAGGGTTACTCTGCTCACCTCTCCTGCTTCAACAGCACAAAGTCTGCTTCGACTATCAAAGCACTCCGTAAATAGCGTGTCACAAGTGTGTGACAAACATACAAAAGAAGTAGAGGAAAATGACTATAGTAAGGATTAGGAAAGAAAAAGCAGCAGTTCCCTGTTGCAGTTCAGGCACATGGCATAGTTGAATCAGCCCATTTACACTTCTACTGTGTATAAGAACAAGTTATTGTCCTCCCCTTTGGAAATGGCCTAAAGACACTTCAGACACTGCCACCGAGGGGGAGGGGGTAACTAACGTGGAAGAATGAGTCGCTTGAGGTTCGAACCTGGGTAACAAGCACCGCTATACAGCGTAGTAGGCTATCAGTTGAGTCGACTGTACCTCAGACGGTGGTTGTAAGACGCCACTGTATGTCCTACTTCTTTTCTTTTCTTCTGTTGTTTCAGCCAGACTGTTTGTTTGTTTGTTTGTTTGTTTGTTTGTTTGTTTGTTTGTTTGGGTGAAGAGAATCTCATCGACACAGACCCACAATAATGTTCATTTAGTGCTGGGAAAAAATAAGACAGACAGACAGACAGAATCAACAGAGAGAAAGTAAAGAAGTAGAACATAATAGAGACGCCCTCCAAC